CAGTCAGATCAGTGCTTGAGGTGCTGGAAATTGCTGTGGATCCCAAGAAAAATTCTGTGGGGGACATGAGCTGATGTCCACAAAGCTATGATATGTTGACTCTTTGCATCTGGTGTTTCCCTCAGTACTTGCTAAAGAAAGGAAAAGTCATTCAACTTGAAGAATATTTGACCGAAATTGAATTACCTTGAACTCACAGTGGTGGCTAGGGTTAACAGTACAGGGCTGGTGTTGTGGGTGCTCACTGTGCTTCACTTGATTTCTGAGTGTGCTAGTTTAAAATCCAGTGGGAAAATTAAAGCCACTCAAGCTGCCCCCTTCCCCCGCTCCCTTCTGGTAGTGGAGGAAACACTAGGAGAGATTATAAAATGGAATCACAGTTTACTGGAAAATTGCAATAACCACAGCAGTGCTAATAAAAGAAGGTAATAAAGTGTGTGTTTTACTCAAAAAAGGGTATTTACCACTGGACAAACCAAAACACTTCCTGAAGACGGAACCCAGTGTGGATTCCCAGCCAAAGGTAGAATGGCAGCTGGCCCCATGCTGAGCCATGTGGTGGATGGGAAAGCAAAGGCAGTGTGGCAGGGATGCTCCCAGCCTTCCTTCCCTCCCAGCTGGAAAACAGTGGGAAACCAGACTGGACCTGGTGGGATGTGGCAGAGCCTTGAAACAGCTCAGAGGACCCTTCCTCTTGGCCTGACTGTGAGAGTGGGACTGGGACGCTCGGTGGTTCCGGCCGCATCTCGGGCTCCGGCGGCAGCTCCAGCAGCTGCTGTGGCCGCCATGGCTGAGGCTTGGGCCCGTGTGGCTCCAGTGGGCTCCATTTTCTTTTTTCTCGGGCTCGGTGGCGCTGTCTTTCAGCACCAAAGCAGAAATGCTGTGGTTCAGAGGAACGGGGAAGGGACTGCCAGCGGCAGAGAGGGACAAGGCCTGCAGAGCTGGCCCTGAGAGCTGCACACGCCCTCCTTGGGTTCTGCTTCCAGCCTCAGCTTCCTCCTGCTGGAGCCATGTCCCCACCATGGGGGAGTGGTATGGAGTTAAACAGTGCTAGAAACTCCATCCCTTTTTCCTCCAACCAGGGCACCAAGGCAAGGGCTTTGTTTCATATGACATTGAGACACAAAACTAAGGGGTGCAGTGCCACAGCAGTTGGAAGCTGTACGTGCTGTTGTTCTCAGTATTAGTACTCAATTTATTTTTTAAATAATATGCCCCAAGTCAGTAAAATCAACGGAATACAGGTAGAAGTTCATTATTCCATTTTAATCTACTTTTCAGTGTGAAGGCAAGCTGTGAGCAGCTGTGTGCAATGTATTGTGGAGCAGTAACCTTAATGTTAGGAGTCTGTTAATTTGCATAAGAACCATAATGTTTTATACTGAACTCATTGTGTCATGTTACTTGAACAGATTGAAATGAAAGAATAAACTACACTATACATGTTGATCAATGCATGAAGTAGTTTTTGTGTTGGTGCTAGGATTTTATAGTTATGTAGGATTATAGAATTCTATGGGAAACTTCTTGAGAGATGAAAAAAAAAATCATGACTTTGGGATTTTTGATGATTGAAAGTTCTAGTATTCTAGAAAATTGTTTTCCTTATGATGATTTAAAGAACAGCTTCCCTAACAGAATTTATAACAAAATTCGTTTTATTAATATAGAGAAGAATCCCTCACCAAATGATGCCAGTGTTGTTGATCATAGCAAGCACACTGCTTGCATTGTAGTGTGGCTTTGTGATAATTGTATTAGCAATAAAAAGCTGTTGAAAGTTTTCAGGAAATAATTTACATTTCAAAAATGCTGAAAACTACTTAAAAAAAATATAATAAATAGAAACAATGAATTTATGGACTTGGATGAGTCTTTGCTGTTAGGGAATATACTTGATACACTTCAGCCAGCTGTCTTAAGTCCTTGTAGGAATCCACTGTTCTAAAGAAGCTTAGTCTTTAGATGTTTATTTCACTGCACTGAGCCTCACCTTTTTCTTGACATATATAACCAAGTGTTTATACATTCACAAATCTTATATAAATACATGCAATCCTAGAGCCTTTTCAAGCATATCCATTATCAGTGTTTTATGATTTGTTTTACATTAAAGCTTTCCTACTTGAAGTAGTGTTTTAGTCCATAAATATTGATTTTGATGACAAAATAATTAGGTTAGTTTATGTTAAACAAACACATAGCTTTTTGGAAGTCTGCTGGATTTCAGAAGAGTTTTTAGGAACACTGTATAGTGGTCTGTAGGCACAAATTCCATTGCAGTTGCTTATAGTTGAGAGACAACTAGCAGTGACTGATAATTCTAATCGCTTGGGCAGTGCTGTATGAATTCAGATACTTTCCTTTTTCTTCACTGAAAAAAGTCCTTTGCTGACAGCAAATGTGTTATACTCTGCCAAATGAAATAGTGCATGAAATTCTGGTCTTGTTTTTTAAGCAAGAAGTTTTGTGTAGTTTCCATGATTGTACACTGAAGTACTGGAGTTTCATTCAGCCTAGTTATATTTTTCATCTGAACTGTAACTAGTGATCAGATAATTATTCTGGCTTTTAAAAAGTACATATAGCTAATATGGATGTTTGATAGCCCAGTTTCATTGCTAAATTGAATTCAAAATATGATAAAATAATTTATTAGTAATTTTGGAAAATGGTAATGAGCTTTTAATGCTCATTTTGTTTTACATATTGAGGTTGAAGCTTCTCAGTTGATTTTTATAAGAATTCACATAGTTGTTCTAGGAGTGTTCATGTGGGTCTCATACTTCTTTTGCCATAGTTGTTACGAGTTAGGTGCATCAAATGTCTCTAGACTAAATATGATGTTGCAGAAATAGCTAGTAATTCTTTAGAAGTAATTATTTCTTATTGAAAAATGAATGTCATGTTGCATTTAATCCATGTCATAATTAGCATCTGTCTATGAGCATGTGAATGTTTTTCTTTTCCTGGTCTCCTCTTCTGGACCTTATTTGTACAGAATATTTACAAGAGCCACCAGGAAATTGTTACCCTGTTTGCTCTTACAAGCTCAGTATAAAAATCTGTAAATTGGACTTTGCTCTAAAAGAATGTTATCTGTTTTGAGAGGTTTTCCTTTTTCTTTTATATATATATTCTTTCCTTTGTATATTGACAGCATGCTGCATTTGTTTTTCATGCTGAGATAAATAACTAAATAGCTAGAGAGAGAAAAGGAAAGAAGAAGCTTCCCAGTATCTCATTTTAGAAGGCTATTTCCACTCCAGGGAGGGACAGGTGATCACAAGCAATAGTACTGTGTGAAGTTATCCTTCCGTTTTGTAACTTATGCAGGGCTGCTCCTGATTTACTGCAAATGTAAAGTAAAATGGTTTTGCTTAAATTATCTCTATTAGCTGTGTGTGACCTTAATCAGGAATGAAGCTAACTCATTTTACTTCAAGTCTTCCTGGCCTAGAAGTATTTTTGAGCAGCTGTAGCTTTTCAGGCAGTCATTGGTACCTCCAGGATGAAAACATGTGAAGAAATGCCAGCTGTGTTGCGTGCTGTCCAATGATGCTGTTTGCTGTATTGCTGTAGGCATGCAACTAAACTGGTGGTGAAGGCAAAGGCAGCTTGCATGGCATGGGGCTCACTCCAGCACTGTCCACCCACAGCTGCTACTCCTCAGCTTGACCACTTAGGTAGTAAGATTTGCACATTTCTTGTTGGAGTGAGCTGAATGAGTTAAACTGTTAAGGGCTGAAAGGAAAGTGCCAGAAGTTGCAGTAAGGAAGACTGCCTGGTTCTTCCCAGTATAGGATGCTCCTTGGAGTTTTTTATAAGTTTACAAAATGTTAGCCTTTGGGGCTAGGCAGTTGCCGCCAGCTTATTTTTTTTTTTTTGCTGCCAAAATAATTTAGCTCTCTGTGAGCCTGTGTGGAAAAAGTTGTTTCTCATTGTAGATTTTTTAAAAAAACCACAAACAAACGAAACAAAAAAAACTAGTCTTTTTTTGGAAATGCTCAACGTCCCTCCCTTTGAAACAGAAACTGGGAGTTGGAGCGTGGGAAGTGCTGGTGAAGGGGTCTGGGGAAGAAAAGCCAATTACGAGTCACAGCTTTGCCTTTGTCAGCACTGCAAAATTCTCAGATCGAAACAAACTTCAACTTTTTAAAGAAATGACAGATCTCACATGGTGTCCTGGGCATGTGAGAGCTGTGTGGCCTGGAAGAGGAGAGGGAAGCTGGGTTTGTACCCTAGTGCCTGAGAACTAGAAGTAAAGCCATGAGACATTGACATGTGTGGGACCTTAGTGTGGTTCTGGCCCCAAAATGCCGTAGACTGTGAACAGGGGAGGCAGACGTGGTGGGAGAGTGAGAGATAATCTGGGGCAATGAAGGAAGAAGGGGGAGTCAAGGGGAGAGTGTGGCACTGCTAGCCAAGCCTGGAAGTGACTGAGCTGGGAGAGATGAAAATTCTTGGGGAGCTGGGTAAGGAGAGACTTGGCAGGGATGCTGAAGGTAGGAATGAAGAAGGACCAGGGCTTGAATCAGCATTGGCCAGAGGATATGGCTGGAGGAAAACAGGCAGAGAAGCTTGTTCTGGAAGGTCCAGAGATCCTGACTATTAAGTAAGCACTCTTTGATTTCAGTAGAAGCTCTTTGAGGATATTTTCAGTCATCACCTATGGCTTATTTCCATGCAGAGAATCATTTCACATTTGCAACCAATTTGGTATTACTGTCCCACAAAAGCTGCATGGTACATCTAAAGATTTCAAACCAACTGCTGGTTTTTTTTAGGTGCCAGTGTGACAGTGTCTGATGTCTTAGTTTCTTATTTCTAGAAGTGGTGAATGCAAACATTTTTCCAGTGTGGCAATGTCCAAGTCAAGGACTGTCAAAACTGAGCTTGTCTTTGCAAATCTCTTTTGTTTGGCCCCTTGTGAGGAAGCCCCTCAATTTAATGGTATTAAGTTACATGCTAATGTGCTGGGTTTGTTTTTTTTCCTTCAGGACTCCTGCTCTGTTCCATGCACAGGATGGACTTGCTCTGGGAATGAATCTGGTTGATGCATTGGAGAAGGCTGTTCTCTGGAGTACCCCTGCCTCCCTTCCAGCAGAAGTCGGGACGTGCGTGGTGGACGAGGCAGGGGATTGCAGAAGGCAGGAGCCATTCTGGTGCTCTGTGCAGCTGCATGCTGCCCTGGCGAGCGGGACTCCCTTCCTGGCTGTGCTGCAGACTTCCTAGGTGATGCTAGGTAAGCAGCTCAATCCTAGCTTTTCTTATGCCTTTGCTCAATGTGTCTTGCTTTCTTGTGGCTGCCTTAAGATCTTTGGATCTTGCTTGGAAAAGTACTGACCACTGGTGGCTGGGGGTGAGGCCGTGGGGGCTGAGGTTTGGAGGTGCTATATAAAGCACAACGTAATGCCGAGTCCTGTGAAAAAATTAGGTCTGAGTTATGCCAAACTGGTGACGAAGTTGTCTTCAGAACTGGAGAATCAATTTTGACCTTAAAGCTGTCACTGCTTTAGTTAGGAAGCTAGGAATAATGCAGTTATTCTAGGCTAGGAGTAACAGAGTAAGGGTAGGACTAACCATTATGCTGATGGAGCACTCAGCTGTACCATTGAATTCACAAAGAAATCACTTGTTCTGTCTTCCAAAAAAAAGTTTGAGTAGTAAATGCAGTAAATCAGGTATTGGACCATACTCCAAATGCCAAGAGTTAAACAGATTATTGTTTTGATTAGTGGTAATTTTGTAAGTTTTTGAACGGCGCAGAGGTGCTGTGGAAATGGTATGACATAACTGCGACGTTTACCATGCCACAAAAGCAAACAAAGGCAGAGTTTAGGTTTTCTGAGACTTAGCTTCTGATATTTCCTCCTATGAGTGCTTGCATCCAGATTAGTTTTAGTGTAGACATTTGTATCATGCAAGATGATTTGGGGTGCAAGAAGAGCAGCATTTTTTGATGCTGTCAACTCAGATGATATATGTACATAACATTAAAATGACATGTAAATTCATCATTCATTGCAGGCACATGATTCTTGTGCCTGGTTATTGTATCAGATACTAAGTAGTGTTTGTAATGCCCACTATCAAAATGGCTTGGAGTCTGAATTTCATCTGCATTTCCTCAAGCATGGGGTTTGTATTTTCCCAGTGTGATGTCCATAGCCAAATACAATGCTGTTGTAATCAATAGATAACAGAGAATTTTTTGGCCAAGGCATGGTTAAGCTAAATATTGTTTCAACTTAGCTAACCTGAATGCAAAAAAACATTAAATCCGGTTTTATGAATTAACCAAGAGCATGTTTTCAATGCCTAGAAACATAGTGTGTTTGCCAGATAAGCTATTTCTCTCTGTTGCAGAGAAGAGAGAGAGTAAAAACTATGAAGGTTTTATAATGGCTGAATATTATATTAAATACGCAGAGTAAAAATGTACGTTCCCCTTCCAGCCTGTTCACAGGGGATCTACTACATACAGCTCTGTGAAAGACTGCACTAATGCTTTAGGTGTTGAGCAATATTTCTAAGTGCTGCTTTCTAAGAAAACATGAGGTATTTTTGTTTGACTGCTGCTGTGCAATGTGCAAGTCTTTCTTTAAATCTTTGAAAATAAACAGAATAAGGCAGTGGGGGTGGCAGGGAAACAATCTGTATTTTATGAGCAGAAGTTAAAAATGAAATTATTTGCTTTATCTAGAGCATTGAGAGTTATGTTGCAATTAGACTGATGCAATAGCACGCATTACGAAAGGATCTCACCGCTGGCAGAGCCCTCTGCGGGAAAGCACGGGGCTGGAACAGCAGGGGTGTTGTGGGCCGCGCACTGGCACAGCCACACCGCGGAGATTATCAGCTCATGTGGGACAGGAACGCCAAGGAAAATAGAAACCCTGCCATTCCTGCGTGTCCCGTAAAACGGGGGGTGGGGGGGAGAGAAGGAGGGTGACTTGCTTTTATCAATGTGCCTACTTTATTTCAGTGTCACGTCTAATCCGGTGTGGAAAATGTTTTCTGTTATGTCAAAGAAAGAAGGAATGGAAATGGCAGCTAATTATGAGCTAATATACTTCAAATGCTGCTATTAAGAGTGGAATTTTACTCAGCTCACTCTGTTTCTGCAGTAGAAAAGTAAAATTTCTCTTGAGTCAACTGAAACATCTGTTGAACAAATTGGTTCAATTTCATGAGTCTGTTGCTAATTCAGAAAAGTAGATGGTGTTTTACAAGATCAGTAGAGTCAGGGGGTTACAGTCCATATTCTTTACTTTTTTTACTATTATTAAAGTAGGTCATGTCAAAGTGTTTTGTTTTTACGAATATAGTAATACTGTGGTTAATGTTTCTAGTATTTCAAGCTTTACCTTTGGTTTAATGAGTTTTCTTCACTGTTTTTAATTAATATTACTAATAGTCTTTAAAGTTGTGGGCTTCCAGCTTTGTATCAAGTTCTTGGTAGTGGAGCAGTTGAGCAGGTTTTAAAAAAAAAATCCTCTTTCAGTACATTTCTATTTCTATTTTTATTTCTATTTCTAATTTCTGTTTCTTTGTTTCTGCATTTTTACCTAGTCGCTTTTACTTATGAAGTTTAAATATTAATATAGTTTTAGTTGCTCCTATCGCTGTTTTCTCATTTGGACTGATTCTTTGTAGATTTGGAGATGTGGGAAAAATATTGTAGGTGACAAAGTAGTTCATGGCTTCACATGCTAGTTGCCTAAGAATGTCTTAGAGTCAACAAGCTGACATACGAATAATAAGAGAAGAAAAAAGGGAGACATTAAGAATAGCTTTTCCAAGATTTTGTTCCCATGTGTCAGAAATGTTTTAATTTTATCTCATATACATACATGCATCTTCAAGTTCTCAGGTATATATCTTAACACTATCATCACTGAAAGAAAATCACAAATGTAAGATCAAAGTTAAGTTCTGTATACTTTACTGTTAAATACTATAAAATCAGTGCAAGTCCTTCCTGTGTACTACCTATAACTGGCTGTAGTACTTTGACGTATTTGAAGGGGAAAGCTGGACTTTGAATTTAGACAGTGCATATGTACTTTCTTTGTGCCATGTATATTACATGGAAAATACAAGATTGGCATTAACCATGTTCATTCAGGGTAATTGTAAGCTATGATATTTTCAGCTTTGTGGTCAGGGTGTCTATTTAGAGTAGCTTAGTGTATGAGGGATGTGGATGAAAGTTGATAATACTTTCTAATGTTACTTTAAAAGTACAGGAAATTATCTGTTTATTACCTCTGTTTTTTAAGCTGTAATATTTCTTCGTTATGTAGTAGTTTGTTTGTCTTCTTTAACTTAGAAGATAATGGAGGTATAAACAGGAGGACAGCAGTGTGGGATATCATTGCTTTTGAGGGATTGCTGGGCTGAGGAGGGATGGAGATGTATAGACAAGTTTTCTGAATGTGCATGTGGGTGCAAAAAGCTGCCCCACTGCTGATAAAATGTTGCAAACTCCCCATGTGTTGGTTTTGTCCCTGGTGCAGCTCACTGAGGCTGCAGATGACGTTCATGAAATGAAGTGAAGGGAAAGTTTTGTGGCTGAAATCCTGTGCCAAGTCTTTTTGAAGTTGTATGCAGCAGCTGTGCTGTAGCTAAAGAAAGGCTTTCTTTGCCTCCATCATAACATCTGCATGGTCTTTAACAGCAGAATTGTTCCACTGTGATGTGTCATTTAGCTAATCTGGGTTGCCTTCATTAAGTCCTTTTTTTCTTCTCCTTATTAGAAATGCTCACATTACTTCGGGAAATAAGTTTGCAAAGAATCTGGACTTGAGTGTTTCTGTGTAGAAACAGTAGGCTTCAGTCAGAAAAAAAATAAGAAGATGAGTGAAAACTTTGTAGCTTAGTGAGTCTCTTCAATCTGGGCAGCTCTAGATGGACATCATGAATTGGATTTTTATTGTCCTCTCTTGTTTGGAGGTTAGGCGCTGAACATGCAGCCAGTTTTTGTGGTGATGCCACAAATGTGCCATCATGGCAGCTAGCACTGGTCTGACAGCTTCCAGAAGTGTGGCTTGCACCCTCTGTGCTGAGGTGCTACCCCCTCTCCCTTGTGCCAGTGCCGCTGCAGCCACAGCTGTGGGCTGAGCTGGCTCAGGGAGCCAAACCAGAGGACAGCTTGATGCATTTTTAGTTGAGTCGCTTGGCTGGCTCTTGACCTCTTTGAACTTCCTAACTGCAGAGTTGGACAAATGTCTCTGCTGAAGATGGCCTGGAAGAGAGGGATGGGAGGACCCGCCTCGTGTAGTTGTAAATTGCTTTCAAAACCATGCCTTAGTTGAGAAGGCAAGCACGGGAAGTGTTTTTAAGAAATGTCTCTTGACTGTATATTGTGTTTGCTTCTAAAGTAGAGCGAAATCAATCAGTCAGGTGAAATTTTGAAATTTTACCTTTAGTGTTTCTTTGAGTTGAAGGTTTTTACACAAGGACTTTTAAACTGAATTTTTATTTTGTCTTCTTACAGCATGAGACTAAGCATTCTGTAATTGTTCACTCTATTAGCACTGTGAAGCTGGTGAGTTCTTAAAGCCTAAAGGGTGGGATCTAATGGTCTGAAATATGAGGTTGTGGTCTTGGAGATCAAAAAAAAGTGGAAGAAATGCTGCCCCTTCTGTCTATGGAGGATTTTGGCTATCTTGACTGTAAATATCTTGGATTTCGAGGGATACCTGACTTTCAAACATTATGTTCCAAACTAAATCTGGAGGAATAAACTGTAAATTAAATGGGAGTGTGTGGGGTTTTTTTGGTAAGAATTACCACATTTTATCATCAGGAGTTACTGGATATCCGTTTGCTTTCCGGTTGAACAGTAGAATCAGTCTTCCTTCTGTAATCTTATAGGAAAATGACTGTACTGGAAAAGCAAGAGTGCTGATTTACGTAATTGTATTCATTGCAGAAGTTTGGTTTGTGAGTTCCAGTTCACATAAATAAGCATGAGAGAAAAGGACAGGAAACATGCTCCTGCCTATTAGGGTTTTTAAATAATATTTGCAAAATTATCTTGTAGTCAAATTGTGATTTTCTTCAATTTATGCTAGTAAGGCTGTGGTTACTCCCCATGCTCACTATCTATAAAATTGAACATATACTAGCCACAATGAAGAATGGACGCTACACTGTGCAAAACAATAAGGTTTCCATTATTGCTGCTATTACCAATTACTTGAAATACTGCATATTGAATGGAAAAAGTTAGGTCTG